CAGCTCTGATGTACAGATTGAACAGAGACGGGGCCAGGACTGAATCTTGAGGGAGACCATTCTCGAGGCGCTATTTTTTGCTCAATTGTCCGCTGAGATGGACACGAAAGGAGCGGTCGGTGAGCACGGACCCCATGAGACGCACCATGCGCTTAGAATGAAGCAGATCGGACAGCTTCAGTATGAGTCCTTTCCGCCACACGGAATCGTAGGCTGATGTCAGATCGACGAAGGCAGCGGCCGATTTAATTTGTTTGAAATCCAGCTTCAATGTGTGACGTCAGTGCTAGCACTTGGTCACAACAGCTCCTTGCAGGTTGGAATCCTGCCTGAACCACATTCTCTAGAGCAGGTGTGATACGGGTTAGTTTTGCCCGCTCTAGGAGTTTGTAAGCAGTGCAGGAGTGATATCGGACGATAGCTCTTTGGGTCGTCGGCTGGTTTGTCAGGCTTCAGAACAGCGATGGCCTGAGGTTTTATCCAGGCTTTTGGCATCTTGCCCGAGTCCAAAATATTCGTGAATAGAGTGAATAGAGCCGCCAACCAATCCTTTGGGGCACAGATTTTTTTAGGAAATCCGGGAGGATTTGATCTGGGCCGGTCGCTCTGCCTGATTTTGTGGCGAAGATAGCGGCATCGATCTCTGTCATGGTGAAAGGAACAGAGATACTTGATGTAGGGCTGCATCTCGACCTGTATTGGTGGGCTTCGTTGACCTTCCTCTTTATTTTTCGGTCCGCGGCAGCCTTCAAGTTACTTAGTAACAGGGCTGAGATGGAGGTCGCGGTCACTCGAGGAGCCTCTTGTTTTGTCGATGCAGAGGAGCCAAGTCTCCTCAGCATGTTCCACACCTTCCAGCTTGAGTGAGAGAAGTCGGAGCATGAGCCCCCCCGATATTGACGAAAGTTGTTTATGGCCCTCATGGCCCAAAGTAAGAACGCAAAATTTTTGGCTTCGGAGCCGTTTTGGCACAATAATTTGTTAAATTTTGTGAAGTTAAAAAAGGGCAGCTGTTCAAAGTTGTCCAGTGACTTTTGACTCATTCCGTAGGTCCGCCTTCAAGAAGTTTAGGCAAGAAATAAAAACTGTTCCCTGTGGAAAAATATGAGAAAAGGGAATGGAAGTGCAAGGAAAATAAATTGGAATAGAGAAAGCTACTGAGCAAGAAGGCTAGAATACGCTGCATCAGATGCATTACATGAACTTAAATGGCGAAAGATACATAATTCAGGTTTTGGAGGTAAAAGCCCCGGGGGCACAAATATCCGGGGAGGTTTTCAAATAATTTTTTGCTTCAGTCAAATTGATAAACGTAGAAAGCTGAAACTTAGCATGAATGCGACTACTGAGACAAGGAGTTCAGGAAAGATGTGAAGTTTCGATACATCCCCTGGGAGCATATTTTTTGGCGATGACGTTTGCAAATAAATTTTTACTCCTACAAAATTGGGCAGATTGGGTGAAACGTGGCTCATACATAACTGAAGTTTAGAAAAAAAATTCAACTTATGCGGTGCATACCCTCAGGGTAACGCTCTTGACTGGATCGGCTTTTCCAAATATATCTTTTCACCAGCGAAAAGGGCCAACGGATAAGGCTGAAACTGGGTAGGCACGTATTTCTCCAAGTACCGATTTCAGTGAAAATGTTATTTTGTAGGTAAAACCCCTGCGGGCACATTTGTTGCAAAAGACGCATTTTCCCGAATCTTCTTTGATCCAATGAAAGACAGAACTGCAGAAAGTTTAAACTTGGAGCAGAAGAACCTGTTCGATTGCTGAGTGCAGATCTTACTTTTCTAATATTTTCCCTCAGGGGAGATGACAAAGATTGAAGTTAGGCACACAAGTAATAGGAGGAGTAATTATTTAGATGAAAATATCGGTTCGTCCTCTCATGGCACACATTTCGACGGGCACACACTTTTAATACGATTTTACCACTTCGAAAATTAATCAATGAATCTATCACTATCATGGACAATGGAGCGCCGAAAGCGCGACCATAGCGAGTTTATTTGCCCGAAGGGCAAGTAAATTCGCTAGTATATATATAATGGAGTAGTAATATGATGGACGTTCATGGGCAGAAGGGCAAACTCTTGATCAGCCACAGCCCAGCGACCACGGGAATCCTCTGACTGGTTTTCTGAAACTATTGTAAAATATCGGGCAGATAAGGGGGTCCAGGCAAAAGGCTATGAACGAAGAGAAAGCGAAGCTCTAGGCTAGTTCCACCGGTTTCGGCAGGGGGTGTACGACCGCCCCAGAGCATCAACAGCTATTACGACCTGTTTCTGCGGTCAACCTAACACGCCAGGAATATTAGAGAGAACTTGGAAGTGCTCCCCATTCCAAGGACAACCCTAACTGAAGTCTCTCTGCACTTGCCATAGTCTGCAAATGATTGGCTAAAAATGGCTCACGACAAAGCTACTCGGACTAACAAAATAGGCCAAGCAGCCAACAGACGCCGTTCAGCATATACCTAAGTAGGCCTACAGAGAAGACGATGCCCAAATTTTCCCTGGTGAGGGGAGCCTTATTCCCACATATGGACATGTGTAGATTGACCTACATCCTGACAGGTTTCTAAAAGCTTCCACCTAGCTAGAGGTTAACAGAACGAGAAACGAGAAATACTCAGTTACCGCACTGAGGTATGGTATTTAACAGAAATTTATTGTATATTTTGCCTGAAACCCTCCACAACGGTACATACCTGAAGGTACCTGAACAACTACGAAGATACCACTTCTTCAATTACGCGTCAAAGAATATTACTGTTTTGGAAAAGCAGGGAAAGATAATTATTAAGGTCTAAGTAGTGTCCTGTTTTGAATGGGGGTTCACCAGTTTTTTCGAGCGACAAGCATTCCAGGTAAATGCAGTCGATCTCTGAAAAAAATGACCGTGCTATTAATTGCGATGAGATCATCGATGTATCTGAGAGTAAGGTAATACTCATCAGGAAACGGGACTTCGGACATAAACATTGAAGGTAAAACAACAAAAAAAAGGAAAAAAAGGAATAGGGTAAAGGCACCAGTTTGTGGACAGGTTAAGGAAATTTTCCTCTTGAAAATTGCATTATGGTCGCTGGGGTAACCGAGGAACCGCTTGATTGGTTTCAATGGGAGGCCACTTATCAGTTTGATGCCCATACTCTAAAATAAAATATTAAAAACATACTTTTCCAACAATAGCTGTTTAAATGTATATGTGTTGCTTTTCACGTGGTTTCAGTTTGTGGACACCAATTTTTGTCAACAATTATGAACGTGCATAGGCCGAATAGAAAAATATGGGCATGAGACATGTACAGCAGTTTTATTCATCTTCATTGGTGTCCTGCTAAGAAATACCATTGGAAAAATGAATTCAGGGGTGCTACGTCTGAAACTATGCGAAAATGTCCAAGTTCACTCATGCTGATGGGCAAGCATAATTTATATGGTGGCTGATAGGCATGTGCAAAATATGGAGCGTTTGAGGAAATAAATTTTCGGCGTGAGTTTTTGTAATGGCAAAAAAAACGCAAAACTGTCCACGAATAGGCGCTCCATCCACAAACTGGTGCCTCTACCCTATTAGCCAGGTTGGTGGAATAATTGGAGCCCACAGGAATTTCAATAACTTGCCTGCATATTTGGATGCAATTATTCTTTAGACATTTCTCTAGAAGACCCGAGAAGTACTCAACAGAGCAAAATGTGTTTTTCATAAAAACCTTCATTTGCATTAAGATATTCAAATGCTTTCAAAATTTTATTTTTAATAACCCATCAGCAGTGACAACTTGAACAACTTTTTCTAATTCCAAAACATAGCCGATTTAAAATGCTATTCAAGTGCAGAGAGAGAGGGCCTTAAGGCATGTCCCGACAAAACTAGCTATGAACATAAATTTAATTGGAACATGATTAAATTTAATTTACGGAAAAGGCAATTTCATATCTTTTGCTAAAACTTGAATATTGTGTGTACTATTCAAGTGCATTTTGTTGAAATCTAAGATCTAAACAGAAGGCTTATTCGTTTTACTGGAGGTGAGACTTGTCATAATTTCCTTGCTCATCAAAACCACGTAACATTTTTTGCATATGAATGCGAAGTTGTTGCTGGCTTTGTCGGTAGCCGTCATGAAGATTTTTTTGCAATTGTGATAGCAGATTCTTTGACTTAGGAATGGATATGTCAATGGAACTGTCACATGATTTGGGATTGAAGTTTTGATCAGTCACTATTTTTCACATAGAACATGAAACTTCCATTCTATAAAGGCAATTTGAGGTAGCCTTACTCTATAAGAAATTGCACTGAAGCATTTGTGTACTGTGTCGAGAGAAAGAAACATGCCAAATTTAGTTCCTGTTGATGCTCTCAGAGAGGAATACGAGACTGTTGAATCTTGTTGCAGGAAGGGGGTGAAGACTTTTCCATGCAATCAAATATAAAAGTTTATAGAAGGCATAAATGCTCCTCCATTTGCATAACTGTTTTGTGGCTTACAGTTGTGAGAAAATTTTGGTTAGTTTTGGCTAGAGGGTAAGAACCCATTTCATGAACACTCATCCCAAATAATGAAGCCATTCCTTGCCTCATTCAAAGAAAACGACAATGGTGGCATGCCAAGAATACAAGTCTGTTTAAAACATGAGTGCCTTGCAATCTGCATGAAAAGATGTGACTAATTTCATTCTCACCAGGCATTCCAATAGACGATGGGACACTAATGCAATCCCTGACCTCCTCCTGAAGATGTACCCATTTACATTTTAGCGACTTCAAGCGTCAACATCCTGTCACCTTGTTCATCCATCACTTACCTATCGCAACTATTCCCACCAAATTCTCAACATTTCCACTACAGTTCCCGAATGATATGAAAAGAAAAACAAAACAGAGCTTTCTTTTTTTAACATTATTTTTACAAAGTCATAGGCATTGAATCCATACAAATACATTTTTGAAGGAATAGAAACATGAGTCACTGCTAGACAGTGGGCAAGTTTTACAAATAAAATAAAGCAGATGAGTCGAACAAGAAAAAAACAGGAAACAACTTTCTTTCACTGCAGTGAGAACATTCATATGTGAACGAAAAAATGAAATTCACAAAGCCCTCTCACAGTGTACAAATAAATGTATGTATTGTACAGATCCTGAAGGGAGCCCCAAACGATAGAGTACATGACCTTCACATGATGAGAGACAAGTGCAACGAGTAAGAAATGGAAATCGCCTATAAGGATTTCCTTCCTTCTCGATCCAGTGGTTGTCTTCAGAAACAGAGGCAACATCCTTTACGAAAGTGGAACCATGACCAGATTCCTCAGAGGCTCTACTATGTCTCCAATCACAAAGCTATGAGAGACAAGATGAGACAAAAGAAAAAATCCAAAGAAAAAAGATATAAACTTTTCGAGGCATCCCAATGAAGACAGAAAACACGATCCAGTTCATACTGATTGCTCCCGCGATGCAATGTACACAAAAAAAATTAAAAATTAAAATTAAAATTAACGGAACCAACAACATAGTCAAGCCCGTGATTCTAGCTATTCTTGGGGGCATTAGCAAAATTAATGGCTAGCCGGCACTTCCTCTGACCAGATGGTCCACGGGGAGACGAAGATTCGGAAATGCTCCTTGCACACACAGGCTTCTTCCTCGCAGTGTCCTTCTTCTCATCCTGCAAACACAGACCCTCTTGAGACTCGGACGAGGAGGCCTTGGGTTTCATTCCACGCCCTCGAGAACCTCCCTCACGAGAAGATGCGACAGACTTCTTAGCCACTTGCAATGGCACAAACGGCAGGGAGTCATCTCCTCGACGATCGTGAGCACCCCGGAGGGCAGCCTGGAATATCCTGCCACTTCCTCTCTTTTCCCCGGACGATCCACGATGAATCTGGAGATGGTTCAGCAATCCGACTGCTTCCGCATCTGTTGCGGCTCCTGGAATGGAAAATCCTTAAACCTTTTCCCAAGAGTAAAACTAGAGGATCAGTCATGCAACTCACCAGGAGCAGGAGGGTCCGATGTCCCCCGAGGAGGTGCCTTGACCTTGACGAGGGCCAGCATGGCAGCACCTTCTGCTGCCTCGTCTTTGAAAGCTGACACAGGCCCATCAAAAGTGGAACCATCTGGAAGGGTCACACTCGCCTGAAATCCACCTGGTCCATTCACGTACTTATACCTAGGGACACCTCCTGTGGGAAATTACAAACTCACATGAGGGACCACCCAAGGACATATCAAGGAGATAACACGGAAGGATTACCTTTTCCCTCTCCTTGAAAGTATTCCATGAGTTGGGCTGTTGCTCGATCCATCCGATTCGTCAAAGGTTGAGCAGCCGAAGTCAGAGACCCCATAACTTCTCTCTTCCCCATCATTTCTGCACTCTGCAGGTACAATGAAAGATAACCCCATCATACATCACCAGACTAATGGCAGAGCTCTGGATGAGATAAGATCATTCAGTAGGGGTATTTAGTATTGCCAACTTAGAAAGGTTCCGAAAGAGTAATACTGTCTAGTAGCTTCATGTGAGAAACACCTAATGAATTTAACACCTTATCAATTCCTTACATGCGAAAGTGATGGCCTTAGCTTCCTGGTTTTGCTCAATGGATCAAGCTCCTTGACATCGTTTAAGTCTCATCAGCAGCACATCGTGTCGTTCCATCTTTAGGAACGAGGGAGAAACACGCCTGTATTCCTACTCTCCCATTTCCCAAGAACCCAAGATATTTTGATAAATCAGACATATCAGATAATGAGGTCACCTAGCCAAGCGAGAGTTGACACAAGAGCATCCAGTAGACTATGATTTTTTGCAAATTCACCTTACTGAAGATGGCATGCTCTTTCAGCAAGTTCTCTTCCTAGTTCTGTGATTCCTCTGACTCAAGGAACTTTTTAAGTTTGAATCTACACTTTCCACTGAACAACTTACAACAGTCTTCATCATCAAAATTCTCGCGCCGGTAGCATCATATGCGAAAATTAATATACCCTTGGGCTGCTCCATCTCTAACTCATGCAAAGCACCCACCATGCACATCACGATTTTAACTTTCGGCACTTCAAAACTGCCTATCTGGTTCAGTTTTTCAGCATGGAGTAATTACAGTCCATCCCCATACCGATTTTTGACAAGCCTGGTTTTCTTTCTGTATACTATGTAAAATACTGTATTAATAATAATAATAATTTAAAAAAAAAACATAAAAAAAACCAATCATTTCCTCTATGCACCTGAAACCTGTAACTACTGTTTTTGGTCCAATGGACCATGATACAAAAATTTAGCCATTTGTAGTAGGTTGCACTATAGACTTGTACAGTCTGACACTCCGTGTACTTTCGTGACGTGATAATGATTAGCTCAAGTATTTTGAAGAGATTCTCATTGCTATCCTCCTGAAGTCTAGCAACTTTTGCCTGGATCCAAAATCCAGTACCCATAGCATAAACAGAAAAATTATTTATTTGATTGGATAGCTAGAGCCATTCCATGTGAAATCGCCTAATGAAATATGAGCAATGTCGGTCACTGCCTCAGAATATGAAACTTGTGGCCAAAGAAGAGGATTTGCCAGGTTTGGTTGCATTCTGCAAAATATTTCAATATATATGCCCATGCAAAATTAGAGGGATGGAGCTTGATGTCCCGCTGGGGTATTGTCGTACAATTTTAGTGAATGAAGTGTCCTTTCAAACGGGAGACTAAGTGGATTCTAAAAGCACATAACTACACAAACATGAACAGTTACTTTTATGTTGCAGTGGATGTCTGCTGCAACCATACAGTGGGATTTGGAACCTCTTATTTCAAGGTAAGATATGTGATGAGCAGAAACAGCTAAAATTATTTCCATACATCCATATACCAGGTGGCACAAAAAAAGTCCCAAACTTCTGTGCGTCATACCCAAGATATGCAGGTTATTTCAAGAAAATTTCAACGAAATTCCAGGCTCTGGACCTGAGTAAGAGCTGTTTCTGTACAAGTTGTCAAATCAGCAAGTGTATCAGTGCATTTGCCAGTGTGCTGCCTCGGCAGGTGATCACCAGAGGATATACACATGAAGGACCCATAAAACATTTCTTTCATTGAGGTCTAGAGCGTTTCTTTGCACACTTGTTCTTTAGACTTCGCATGGGAGAAAAATTGTTACTCACGTATTTTACCCCCAATTTCAATTTTTTTGCGTTACCAGCCAACATTGCATGTAAAAGTCTGTAAATTTCCTGTCGATGTCATATGGTACATCGTCTGCAGGCATGCAAAGTTCGGGACTTTTTTTTGGGCCAACCGGTATTTTGTGCCCAAAGGCTCAGATTGCAAGACACTGAGTGAACTGCACCAAATGAGGAATTGGATAAGCTTAAAGGCTTTTTTTTCACACGTTAATAATGTTTGGTAATAGTAAAATAATGCTTTTCTTCAGCAAGCATCTTCGCAAAATTGATATGTTCCCTAGAACACCCTCGACCATGCTTCAAAGGCGCTTAACACGTTTACCTCCATGTGGCACACCAGTGTGTCACAGCGCATGTCTTGTACCACGCCAAGGGGAAAAAAGAAAAACTTGCTGAGTGACACTGCGACGTATCATGCGGCGCCATAGGGAGAATTAGCAAAACTACTTTGGCGGTCAAAGTTTTAAGGGCAAATTTGTATCAAGTGGTCACGTTTCACAGGTTCGATCACAGTCGATTGACTTGGATTCGGGATATTGTTACAATTGGGCCTATTGTGAACGATTGTAAAATTCAATTTTAAAATTTTGTGCTACTAATGTCCGAGATGTTAGAGGTCAACTCCCTCCAGAGATTACTGGTTTGCTAACATGTCTTAGCTACAGCTAGATCCCAGCACTTCATTCGCCAAATTTTCCACAGTATATTGCTAAAGAGCTATATGCTAAAACAAGGGCTGTTAGATTAGATCGATGCATCGATACCACGATATCGATAGATTTTTTTACTATCGCGATGCATCGGCAAAATTTTTGAAGGGGAAGTGTCCCATTGGATTGAGGCGAGTACAGTAGAATACAGTCCGTCGCGGTCGCAGGATCCGGGCAGGGAAAGGAAGAGGCTGCGTGACCCGCTTGGGTTTGCGACTTCCTATCAGGATCAAATCCTGGAAATGCTGACTGTATGAAAGAAAAAAAAAGGAAACGGAGACAGGAAGTGGGGAAAGAGAGGGAGGGACGATTGGGAATATTTTTTTCACTTCCGCTTCAGTATTCAGCTCGATCTCATTACGTGCGTGCTGTGAAAGTGACCTTTTATTCTTTTGATTTCGAAACGTACATTGGTTAATCCCCCTCTCTAAATTCCTGTCTTTCTCTTTAACCCTTTCCCTGGCCGGGATATTCGAACACTTTGACGATGTCGACATAAAATTACGCCGACGCCAGGGAAAGGGTTAATATGCAGTCTTACGTTTTTATATTTGACATGCCCACCCCGTAAAATGGAGAAATGAATTCCAAGTGGAATTCATTTTTAAAATGTACCTGTCGCGAACTTAGTAGGATAGAGACTTAAAAACAAAACTTCCTACCGTTTACGATAAAACCGCAGCTCCAGCGGCCGCGGGACTGAGAAAGATTTGATTTAAATTTTAGGTAGCTTACAGTTCTCGGGACATACCCTCGTGAAAGCAAAATTGACCTACTTACCGGTCTGGTAGCGAGTCCTGTACTTTGCATTTCACCACACATCCTACATCCTACCTTTAGAGTATAGTGGGGAATACAACAAATCTCAGTGATCATCTTAATCGCCATCATTCCACCAATATTGTTGCATGGAGAAGAGGTAGCCAATGTCAGAGGGCAAAAATGACCCAGATTTCATACAGCAGAAAAGGGACAAGTGGAAACGAAGCAGTGCCGAATCCCAGACTATGGGCCTCGGTCCATAGTCTGGTCCAAGCTGGATCACAGAGGATGGTCTGCCTTTATACCTAGTGCAGAAATCTGGGTTCAAGAAGCTCATGGCGAAGAGATTCCCTCAGTATGATACTTGCAGCCGGGCACATCTCTCGTCTCTAACTGACAAATTATATGAAGAAAGGCGGGGATCCTCCTCACAGAACTCTCAAATACCCAGCCTTGCTATCACGACGGATCTATGGACGTCCTTGGGCAATGATTCTTATCATTCTATCATGGCTCACTTCATTTCCTCGGATTGGGAGCTTAAGCGTGTTGTGTTGGGGACTTTTCCGATACCAGAAGGGGAAAGTCATTCTGCCGATACAATAGAAGCCAAACTCCAAGAAGTGCTTGAGAGTTGGAATGTGAACCTCGAAGTGATGTGCTGTGACAATGCCAAGAATATAGTGAATGCTTGCTGTCAATTGGGACTACCTAATCTCTCTTGCTTTGGGCACAACATTAATTTGGCTTTGAAAGCTGGAACTGACCAACAGATCGCAAGGGTGTCCCTTCTGCTAAAGAAATGCAGGAAACTCGTTGGGCACTTCAAGCATAGTGCCACTGACACGTCTGTGCTTCCCATGGTTAGGGAAGAAAAGCAGTGCCCTTCTCATGAATTGATACAAGATGTGCCCACGAGATGGACCTCGACCTACGACATGCTTGTCCGCGTACTGGAGCTCCGACGTGCAATTGATGAAGTCCTATCCACGCACAAGAAGATGGAAGTACGTGATCTGGCTTTCAATCCGGAAGACTGATATCAAGCGCAAGAGCTTCGCGATGTAAGTCTTTGAGAAGATCCCCTCGACTGCAGTTCATGAATTCCTGTTTCCCCTTCCTTTTCGTAATTGCAGGCATTGGCTCCTATTGTAAAGTCCCTCCAGGCACTGACAGCAGAAGTTTTCGTGTCAGTTTCTTTCGTACTCCCAATGCTCTATGAAACAAAGGTAAGCGTCCGACATTGAAAGAAAAAAGCTTAGCTATCATCGAGTCAAACAAATAATTTGGTACCCATGAGGTATACTTGAAGGAAAGAGGACGGCACACAGATTGTTCATAATTTCAAGCGACTGGCATTGAAAAATCTCACTGGCAGGTACTATCTCCCCAAAAAAAACGGGAAATTTTGGAGTTCGCTTGTTTCATGGATCCTCGCTTCATTGGTGAATCAATTTTACCTAGTTACTGCTTATTCTCGCGAATGGATTAGTCTCAATTCTAGATATTATCTCCTAGAATCTCCTGTCATCACTCAAGATGACTTCTCGCGTGCGAAAGATTTACAGGTGCATCCCATCTAAGCACGCGTCGGTGAATCTCCTCATCGCACATTTCACTTGGAACCTTCCTGCGACATGGAAGAAGAACTCGTCGACGATTCCGGATATGCAAACGCTCCACCACCTAAAATGATGACGTCTGAAGGGCTCATGAAACTACTCAGCCATATGAAAGCCTCGAACGAGAATAAACAAACAACGATCGACGAAGTGGGATTGTACGGGGCAGATACTAGCAGGAATGGGGAAATCAACCATTGGAATTCTGGAGAAAGAACACTAGAAGATACCCAAATGGTTAGGAAATACCTGGCCATTCCTGCGACGTCTGTGCCCAGTAAACGCCTCTTCTCCCGAACGGGAAATATTGCTACAAAGTTGCGCTGCTCTTTGCTCCCCAAGAATGTCAACAAAACTTAGTTTCCTTTCAGTTATGATGGCAGCTGAGAGCGAATAAATTCATGGATCCTGGGGGGCAAAATAATGTTGTTTTTTTTTTACCCCTCATATCGTTTATCAGCCGGGATACCTGATAGCCACCTTCTTCCCGGAGCCTTTGTTTTTGGTCCGATGCATCGGTACACTATCGATAATTCAGGTCGATGCATCGATGTTCTGAAAGCAACCATCGTGACAGCCCTAGCTAAAACCATTGTTGGAGCAAGAATGTAGCTGGTTTACAATTTTACTAAAATAAAAATAAAAATTCTGAATGAAAGAAATTGCAACATACAAAGAAGTTGGGAGATAGGAACAAGTACCAGCAGTTGCTTAACAACTCTTGAGACAGTTTCCGTGGACTTGTGGAACCTGGCAGCGGATACGAGCATAAAGTGCGGAGCCGAACAATGCAGGGCCGGCCCTAGCTATTTCGACGCCCTGTGCAAAGAGACTCCCGAAGAGAAGACCTTGAAACCTTAAACAGGGTGTTCCACAGAGAAACTACCCACTGGTTGCAAGTGAATAGCTCTTGATCAAATTCACATACAATGTTGCTTTTATGTTTGTTTATCCGGGGGAAATGGAAAAGTAATTTGTAAAGGGTGGTTGGATGATCTCAGCTGAACATTGAAGAATGGGTACAAATAGCAAAATGGTATGGTAAGTAAGAAAACGTAAAAGAAGTGCAGGGGCAGTTTCAGAGAACTTTAGGGTGTCACACCCCAGAACAGAAAGCCTTTGCAACTCTTGTTTTAATGTTTGATCCCACTAGGAAAGTCCTGAATATTTGAAAAAGAGACAGACCAAGAACTACTCGCAGAGAGGAATGAGTCAAGGCCATTTCAGGACACACTCAAAAGATTGACGAAAGTACACATTCATTGCCTGTCATAGGAGCTGGATGTGTCTCAGTCAGGAGCTTTGTGCATTTTGGGAGACATATTCCTTAACCCCTTAACTGGGAACTTTTGAAGGCATATGTGCGGTGATTCCATTGAGAGATGGCAGGTGCCAGACCGCACATATGCCGCGAGTCCATTTAAGGGGTTAACCTATTTTAGATAATACTGATTCTGCTCATCAGACTAATGACTCGATCCAGTGGGTGACATATCCCGACACTGTTAAAAAATACTTTGCAAAACCCGATCCTCCTGCCTGTGTCGCCATCTGAGAGGGTATGAATCTGTTTTTGCAAAAATGGACAATGTCCCTCAAAATGCACTAAATTCTTGACTGAAACACATCCAGCTCCTGTGATGGGCAATGAATTCATGTTTCTGAACTTTTGCCTGTCTCTGAAATGGCCTTGGCTCATTCCTCTCTATGAGCAGTTTTTGGTCTGTCACTTTTTCTGGCATTAAGGACTTTACCAGTGATATCAAACGTTAAAACAAGAGCCACAATGGCTTTCACAATGGGGTGCAACCCCAAAAGTTTTCTGGAACTGCCCTTGCACTTCTTTTACAATTTTCTTACTTAGCATGCCATTTCACTATTTTTACCCTTTCTTCAATGTTCAGTTGAGATCTTCCAGCTATCTTTTAGAAATTTCTTTCCCAATACCCCAGAATATACAAACAAAGAAGCATCAATGTATGTGAACTCGATCAGGAGCTATACACTGACAAACCGTGGGTAATTTATTTTCTAGAACACCCTGTATGAGGGTTCCATGGGATCCCTCAATATATTAGGTTGTTGCAAAAGTCCTGTCGGTATTGACAACTTTATTTTCTCAACTTTAGAGCTTTGCAACAAGCGAGGCCTAATCGACCACATATTCGCCATAGTTGCAATGACCTTCGTCCATCTTCTGGGCAGGTCATGGATGCCTTCTCTGTAGAAGAACTTGGGCTTCGAGGCGAAGAAGTCTGCGAGGCCGGTTTCCATGGCCTGTCGATTGGTGAAGCTCCTCCCAGCCAGGTGATTTTTCAGCGATCAGAATAGATGATAGTCAGAAGGGGCAAGGTCCGGGGAGTACGGTGGGTGACAGATCACTTCCCAGCCGTACCCCTGTAGCGTGCTGCGGGTGACGTTCGCGACGTGTGGGCGCGCGTTATCGTGTTGGAAAAACACATGGCCTGCCCAGTAAGGATCGGAGTCCAGTTTCGCTTTGAGATTTGCCAGCTGAGTGGTGTAAATGCGGGCAGTGACCGTTGAGTTCTCTGGAAGCAGCTCCCAGTACTCAACTCCTCGTTCGCTCCACCAGATGCACAGCAACAGCTTCTTCGGGTGCAGACTGCCTTTTGGCTGTACTGGANATGAGTGAGATACAACAGACTGTCCTTATATACCCATACCTACCACCCACTCGCCAGGAATTGTCAAAGCCTGGAAGTCTTATTAGAACATGTTACATTCAACATCGACAGGACTTTTGCAACAACCTAATAATTCCATAAAATTTACAATGAGTCTCTGTTGATGACTTTCACAAAGAATGATCAACATGCATGACAGATTAAACTTAGATCATTTCCTTTATCTCACTGGCCATACACAAGATGAAAGGCAGCTGACCTGGAAGAGTTCTTCTGGTTGAATGGCTCTCCACTGTCCTTTCTCTTCATGTACTTGTCTCACCATGTCAACTTGGGCTGTCTCTCTTCCTTCATGTCCCTGTCTTACCAGCATGGGACCACTCTGCATACACAAGAACTTACTGCATCATTTGAGCATTGTGGGGGAACTTCAATTCAAATACAGAGTGTTTGGAAAGTCACTCCCTACTGTAAAACTGAATGAACTTTTGTAATTTTTGGACTAGAACAATGGTTTTTGTGCTCAAGGGAAACATATTTCTATAGGGTTTTATGATTTAATTGATTTGTATTCTTGCTTTCACCCTCCAAGGTGCCAAAGTTCAATCTTCGACACCATGATCAAATAACTGTATGGTATGAGGTGTGGAGGCAGAGAAGATGGGAAGTTGCATCCAAGGTATTCTCCTTCCACCATCACTTCTGGACCATGACCAAGGGCTATGGCATGAGGTGTGGAGGTTCTCTGTCATGGTCCAGATATCACGGTGGAAGGAGACTTCCTTGAATGCAACTTCCCATCTTCTTTGCCTCCACACCTCATACAGTGCAGTTACTTGCTCGTGGTGTTGAAGATTGAGAAGATTGAGTGTTGAAGTGAAGAAGAATTTAGGCACACTGGAAGGTTACTGCAAACATACAAATCAATTAAATTGTAAAACCTTATCAAATCCTCTTTCTTCTAAGCAAAAAATAACCAATCATTCTAATTCAAAAATGACAAAAGGTATTTCAATTTTATCATAGGGAGTGACTTTCCAAACACCCTGTAGGTACAACAGAATCAGCCAAACCCCTTGTACCTGCATGGAAATTAATACTGTGTTTGCAACCTCCTCCCTCATCATGCCACAATTGTGCAAGATTGCTAGGGATGCTTTCAGATAGAAAGGTATGTATGGTAATACCAATACAAGGAGTGTGAGTCAGCAAAACACAATCATGAGATAAATGCATGTATAAAGGTCAAATGAATCTGAAATGGTTTTTCTAATATTCGTTTATTGACATATTGAGTGTAGAAAAAATGTCAGAACTGTTGAAAACAAGCCAGTACAGGGTGTCTTCACAAACATTCATACCATAGTTAAAAACCTCCATGTGCAACCATATCGACATATGGTGAAGGTACAGAAATAATAATGAAAAAGATTACAAAAGGCTTTTTCAAAATTTGTGCCAGGTTTGGGGGATTCAAATATGAGGGGCATACCAACATCCTAACAGGTATTTCCACCATTTAGCTACTCTCTAAGTACAAAAGGTTTGACAGTTAATAATTTAAGTAAATGAGCCATGCTCATTTACCAAAACTACAGGGTGTATGATAAGTTAAGTAAAATTTTTTAAAGTTCAATAACTCAGTTACAATACATGCTATTTGTTTGGTTCTGGTACTAAAAAGGGCAGTGTTGATTTATTACACATGCAGCTTGATGTGTCCTACCTCTTTGGCAATACACATATTATTAAATTCCTTGGCTCTCTACTCTGCTTGATGGGAAAAGTGCTCTGGAAGTTAAATGAGTCAAACCACTTTCCATGTAGCTAGCCTAACAGACCGACCAGGACTTCTCGGAAAAAGTCTTGCACCATGGCAACATTGTCTGGTGTATGTGATGTTGACAGTTTACCAGAACGTTTCATGTCCAGCACAGACCCCTGTAGTCATTAACTTGGAGTGACAGTTTTTTAGAGTCCTGAAGTTCACAGTGAGGTGTTCCTCCTGTGCCTCCACCACCTTTGCACCCTCATCACAGATCTCCAGACCTCATACCTAGCTGCCACATCTACTTGTTGCATAATGGTTAATTGGGGCATCCTGGCTGGTCATATCACTCATTAACCTATGAGATATAGCATACACCAAGAAATCCTAAAGAACACTGTACCTTACAATGCAAGAACCAAGCAAATAGCATACATTGTAAATGAATTATTTAACTTGAATGCATTGTACTGACTTATTATGCACCCCGTAGTTCTCAAGGGCAATGATGTATGAGGGATTCAAGAAGCAAGAGCATCCCCATCACCCTCATGAAAATTTTACCCAATTAACTTACATGTCAAAATGTTGAGGCATTGGGCACAGACTTACTGCTTGGATGCCAGGATGAATATATCCTTCATTTATTTGAATAATAGTTAAATATCAAACCCCTTCCTTGTATGTGCATGAAGCAGCTTCTGGCTTTAAGACCTCTGGTCTCCAGGGGTGAAGCAAGATAGTACCAATAAAAAATATCAACACAAATTAGAAAACCAATTTTTGGAGATTGTAAAAAAAGAGAGAAGCAATTTGCATGAAATGAAACCATCCTCTTGAACTTAACCTGAATGAACTCAATGTAAGGGGTTGGATTTATATGCTATCAGACATAAGGATATGGAAATTTTGCTTCCTCACTTGCAGAAAGGAAGTAAGTATCCAGCCAGTCATTAGTGCCATGACAGTCCTCTTCATACACAATCTTTCACCCTCACTTTAACATCCCTTGTAATTTAACCATTTGATATTTTCAAAAAGATACTTACATTCATTCATATTTAATTTGGCATTTCATGCTCAGACCAAGTTTCATCTCAAAACTTGCAATATTCTTATTGAAATTCTTAAGCCTCACTGCTTGACAAAGACAACTTGACCAGGAATTTTAACAATAGGCATCTTTGTTGATGTACACGAGATTGAGGATGGGACAGGAAGTTGCATACATCCCTGGTAAAAGTTGTATGGCATACATTAATGATTTCACAGTCCCAGTCAGAAGGGCATTGCATGGGTTGGGGCTGGGATAATCTCTTATCACCATAGTCAACAAGACACATGGCACAATTCATTATAGCAGGTGGTCATAACATGTAAGGCCATTGTGGCACTGTGAAGACCAGTGTGTGTTAGGAACAAATAGGTGTATAACATTTTGTTGGCAACAATCTGATCATGGTTACTTACTTGGGTGACAAGAAGGCACCAGTTTCAATGATGCCAACTCAACTAGTGAATATTTATGAATTATATATTTACCAGCCTGGTTACACTGTTAGAGCTGTAACTACACCACAATTCATCACTAAATTCAACCATTTCTAAGATATTTTGAAAAACACAAATTCACTCATCCTTACATCCAAAATGAGTTCCAAAAACTTTTTTTGTTGCTTTGTTTTGCTTAGATGCAGGATGGAAAGAAAAACTAGCAAAAGGAGTTTCAGTGCTGAAGTACCGTTGCACAGATATAGGTTCCTTCTAAATGGGGTGGTACATCACCTGAAAAAAAGGATACCATACTGACCTGAAAAGGCGGAGTGATGTAGCGATAATTAGTGCTGACATGGGGAGGCCTATGAGGAGTCCCTCCTCTCATTCCACTTCCACTCCATGGGTAACTACCTGGTACTGGAATTGGCATGTCCATCTGTTGATTTCATTCACCATCACATCAGTGTCATCAATAGTACAATTATCCACAAAAAGCATTCACAGCTGGACCAGAACATTATTACTGGAATCTTTCACATTTAAGAAGCACTTTCAACCTTGGCAATTTGAATGCACTATGGGAGAAGGACGTCATGACAGGTATAGGCCTGAAAGTGATAACAGAGGCATTCCAGCTCAAGTGGTCAAATTTTAGACATTTTCGTTGTGCTTTAGACTCGGATTGGCTTTCACTGGACACTTGGAAGGAAGAAAAATCCATTCTGAAGTCTGTTTAGTCTGAAACGAAAAGGAATTGAAAAGGCCGGCACAATTTTAGTTGCAGCAAATCCATAAAACTTCAAATCTTATTTTTTAAACTTGGAACAGGTATAAAATATAATCACAGCTATTTATTGGTCACTGGTGAGATATACCCAGACCTAGTTGTTTCACCATGATTCCCGAAGTTGGTACTTTGGGTAAAACATTTCAAGAGGAAAACTGACAAGATCAATCATTCAAAAAATTACACAGATGAGAATATTGAATTCAACAACATGAGTAATACATCATTGGAAAGAACTTAGAGAGAGCTTTTATTGCACATTAGTTTCAAGTTTGGATTGCGTTTGAAACAGGGTGTACAAACCATCCAAGTGGGTGAAAATAGGCAGTATTGGAGTTTTCAAATTTAATTTTAAGTTGTTTCAAGCAACATAGGAAGTTGAAATTTAGTTCTTGAATTGGCATTGCTTTAGTCTACAATGTTGCAAAAGCCCATTGTGTTGTCATGCATCCTAGTGCTCAAAATTTTCGTGCAAAATTCAGCAATATTTGCAAATTTGGAATTTGTGTAATTCACTTGGTGACAAACAGAGTACAAAATGGATTTGATAATGTGATCTGGCAATGTCTCAGCTTTAAATAGTGTCCAAATAGGCTTTTCTAGCTTGACTGGGACCAAAAATAGCGTATTTACCCCAAAGGTCACTTATCCTCTTGGGGGCTAAGTTTAGGGTTGCATATCTTGAAAATCATTAGAGCTAGAGAGCTAAAATTTGAAACGTTTTCATAAGTCTTTGATGTCAACATGCTCAAATTTTTTCAAGCCAATTGGAGTCTGACACACAACCACCCCTTGACCACTTGAGCTGGAATGCCTCAACATTGTTTAACCAATACCTTGGCAGCATTAGGGTTAACCTTTACCACTTGTTTTTTTTTTTCACAATGCTATGACTGATGGTAAGCCCAGCTTGACAAACAAGTGGAAAGTGTTAATGGACTCTGGTTATTGATGGTCTGCATTTAAACATCATGAACATGTATAATGGAACACCTAGAAAATTCTAGCATACTGCACTCATTTCCTGCTCTGTCACAGATAAAGATCAGGTTTTCCAGCTCTAACAAGCCAGTTTCTGCAAGAACTCTTCTCATAATGGGAAATAAAAATCCAAAGAGATACCAGATTCCCAGAAATATTGAAATACTGTTACATAAAGATAAACAGGATATGGCAAAAAAAAAGACCAATGACTTTCAACTAAATTATCTCCATTCACATTGAAGTTATTTCACGAAACTTCCATTTTGTATACATACTTGTTGTAACTAAAAATATTGCAGCAAGAACCTGTAGAGATCTGGGGGTGGTGCAAAACTTTTTTTTATGTGTGTATATGACCCAATACATTTTCATACATTGGTTCAAACAAATGCACCATATGCTGTCCATATATGCCATGTCATATCTATGTATGGTGAGATTACCTGAAACATGCCTGTATCCTAAAAGGGTCCATAATCCATCAAATACTGTATAAACATTCATATGCAAGTCACTATACTTTACTTGCAATCAATTCATTTTTAATTGTTCATAGAACACAGTTAATTACTCCCAGAACTCATGTTTCATGGTGTTCAACATATGCACCCTTGTTAACACATTCACGCCCAGCGACTCCAGAACACTATGGGTTTAAAAACGTAATATTACGGTTCCCGGCGTCAATGGGTTAATGAAGATGAAAGTTTCAATATTATAGATCACAAGTATTTTCATCAGTAATGCTATTTCATGACAAAACTTGGCTTACTCAGTTAGGAGTATCTTCTTCATTTTGTACTGACAACTCACAAGATAGATGGGAACAAATAATGTATTTTGTTCAGAAATAATCCAATGAAGGAATTGTTCAATGAGGGCAAGGCACGGCATGTGCCCCCCACTTTACAACAAAAAACTCATTCATACAAAGTAAAAGACACATGAAATGCATAACAGTGTCCCAGAGTTCCCATGCCTCACCCTCTCACACTTTTTTCATCTATCATATGCTTATGGTAACTAGGGAGAGTAGGGCCCAGTTTGAAATCCCAACTGGAATTTTCCAGCTGGACAGAAGCTGTATATTCAGACTATTTCCAGCTGGCAAAGAGCTGAAAAAAGACAGATACAGATTGCTTTATAGCTGGAAATTAGCCATTTGAATTTTATACAGAGGTCCCTCCAGTTGGAATATAACTAACTGAATTTACAGTTGAAATTCCTTTCCCCCCCCACCTTTTGGTTTCTACAGGTCCTTCAGGAGCAAAGTATGCAATGCTAGAACGTTATGCAGAAAGCAGATGGGATGAACCCAACTCATAATATGAAGCTCTGAGAGAGCATTCTAGGGATATATTACATGACTGTGTTCAGTCACTCCATCAAAAATTAACATATTTGAGTATAGAACATTAAGCAATTTTTTCCTTCTTTTCTTCAAAGAAGGCACTCTAAATCATATATAGTTGGAAGGATCTTGAGCTCACCTTCCTAGAGACACTGGCTGGTATGCAAGAACGAATAAAACTAATAAAATAGCTATTTTGGGGGGAAATCATGATAAAAATGATAGGTTTGATAGGTTGGCCATATGCAAAAACATTTTATACCTATCATGATAGGGTATCATGATAGGTATAAGAATCGCTTCAATCTATTATGATCCAGAGCTGGTTTATTCTCCTTATAACGAGCTATCTGGGTGGATTGCAGTGCATTTTATTAACCCAATTAATTATGTGAACCGTCGTAACTTGTGCTGAGCACAGTTACTCTGAGATAGATTAAATTCCATAGAATTCTTTGTATCAAGCCATGGCAGTCGGAAGTTGTTCTTGCATACGGAATTGAGCAAATAATAGAACTATTGCCTGATACTTATCATGATAGCTATCATGTAATAGGCTATCAAGTGATAGGTAGTGGCCCATATGCAAGAACCTATGATACTGTAAGTGCTCCACAGCATCGAAAAATACTTGACCAAAGATGATCAAACATGAGAAAATTCCAAGTTTAAGATAAATTCCCTATGTAGAGGACAAAAAGTCAAACAAGTAACTTGCTTTATAGATGCAACCAAAAGAGGACTGCAACTTACTGTAACAAGAGATTTGCCTTTTCCCTTGCCACATATGGATATTTGATGGTTAAAATTGCCTAAATTCCAGATTTTCTAACTCAATTATGATGCTGAAATCTTGTTCAAACTCCAAGGATGTATAAACATAATTGTACATCTATTGAAGAGCTCCAATTCAAGCTATTGCACACCTCCAAATGATGAACGGTTCCTGAGATGAAAATTTTGCCATCCGTGGGATTTTCCATTTCTCCCCAGTTTGAGGGGAGATTTCTCCCTAACTGCAGACCCAATGGAGCAGATTATTTTTTTATGGAGTCATTAGATTGAGAGCAGTTGCTGAGAATTTTTTGTGCAAAATCAGAGATGGTCGAGTGCCGTGCCTAGTTGAGTTTGTATGGAATGACTCCCTATTCCTTCAGTAAAATTCCTTAAAGGTCTACTAGGAAACTTCTTCCCTCTCATCTTTCCAGTGAACCTTTTTTATAAAGTGCAAAGTATGCATAGTATGCATGCATGACCACCCCCATTTCTAACATTGTTCAAGTTCTGTCTAGAAAACCATTTTTATATTGTGCCCTTTGAGAATTTCACTTCTCAATCATCTGTGATTTGCATGCAAAGCTGTTCCAAAACCTATACAATTTCATGGCCATCTTGTACAAACCAATGAATTAGGAAGCATTGAATTTAAGGCACTATGGGAAGATGAAAATCGACCCCTCTGGATCGAAATTCTGCTTTATAATTGTTGTAAGGGACCTCAAGAAAGGGCCTTGGAGCCGATTGCTGACTCTCTGCGGTCACACCCGGGGCCATGATTTGAGGTCAAAGGTCACGATTTACATCCCTCTCCTTGAAAATGTGTATCTCCCCAGCCATTGGTCGCAGAAACGTCAAATTCATGCCATTTTCCTTGGAAGATATCACGCTAAATGTAAAAAATAAATACATGCATGTAACCGTCGTTATCGAGACGCCATGGCGCCATAACTGAGAAAATTTCCGTTTTCGGATTCTGTTTTTTCGCTCTCATTCCTCGTAGAAATTTTCTATCGACAAAAGCATGCTACACTTTTTGGAGGCTATCCTGATCCATCTTTTGGTGGAGTTGCGCATAGTTTCCTCCAACCGTTCGCTCTCAAAGTTCGACGATCCACACGAAAATGCCACTTTTTTTGGAAATTACTTGAAATTGACGGACATTTCTCGAAAACAAAGCCGAAATTCAAAAATTCCTCTGATAGATCTCTTAAGAAGTCTCTCAAGAAGCTTCGTGTGGATTTTCGTGGGAATCCGTTCGCTATCCTCGGAGCCTATCGCTTTTTGCTGTGGCCCATTTGAAAATTGAGGCCATTTCTGTCCTACCGGGTCGATTTCCTCGGTTCATCGGTCGCAAATACCGCATATTTTTGTTTCTATCGCATAGAGATTTGTTTCAGGGATCAAATGATATCAAGATTGCTTACTTTCTCCCGGGTGATAGAGAACGCGGGGTTTTAATTCCCGATTTGCATGGAATCTTGAATCCTCGCGCGCAGCTCTTCTTTCTTGGACCTCCCTCCCGACTCTCTCCCATGTTCCTTCGCCTGCCCGGGACCCTGTCGCATGCACGCACTTCCTCCTCGTCTTTTTTTCCCCTCTCTTCCCCAGTCTCACTGGCTCCTGGTGCTGACCCTTCCTCAGTCGGAAAAAGAGCCGCCGCACTTCCTATACTAAGGAGCATTAAGGATTTCTGTGACTGGTGTGTTTTCGTTATCAATCCTTGTGCAGGCAGTACACAATCTAAGGCCCCAAGGGTAACGATTTTCACGAGATTACTGCTTTTCCTGATTATGATTAATCGAATATGTGATGTTCGCAAAGGGGAGTTTGTCAACTTAGGTCCCCCATTTCCTTTGAAGTGAAACACATCCCGCAGACTAGAATGGACTTTGAGCTCCAAAACTTATCTGAAAAAGTAGTTTCATGAGATGAGCCATTTTAGAGATACTTGAGCGACACGGAACGTTGTCTGACCTCCCGGGAGAGGTGAGATTGAGGATGGTTTTATTTGGGGGAGTATTAAACTAAAATGAAGGCGCACAGCTTCAACATTTACACCACCGGTTATGTTGGAATCTAGACAACAAATTTTTCCAGAAAGTGATTTTTCAAGTGTGTCACTGTCGAGATGTAGGGAGGAGAAGTATAGCGCCTGATTGAAACTGAGGTACATTAAAGAGGCATTATCCCTTGTGTATATTTATCTCACTTAAATATTGTCAATAATAAAAAAAGTATACCACTGGCTCGGGCAGACTCTGGATTACAAATCTTGTTTAGGCAGAATTTTCCTCAACTGAAACGTTTTCGAGGTAAAGGAGGGAGAAGCGAGTCAGCTCTCCACTGTCAAGTGTTGAGTACGGGAGCACGTGGCATTGTTTCCCGTACTCAACGGCTCCCCGTCTACAACCAATCAGGGAGCGCTGCTCCTGCGTGTGACTTGGACTCCGTATAGTTAGTCATAAGTTCTTGCTAAATTTGCTGTTTGATAGCCATTCGACTGGTCGAATCAAAACACAACTCGGAAACAGTTCGCCCCATTAACACCGTAATAAGTAATTCGAAAAATCGACGAAGCAATCGAATCTCAAACGAGGAATAAAGATTCAAGCTGACTTCAAAGGTCAAAGACCAAGAGCCCGTATTTCAAAGAATTCTAATTTTCAAGGCAGTTTCCTGGCTATCATTCCGACCACAGAGATAATTATCTATGCGACTTGAGAATGCCTCTTGGTTGAACTGTATACCAAAGCTCACGTTGAACTGTATACCAAAGCTCACGAACCTTGAACATGGTATTTCGAAGAAAAGTAATGCAATGTGAACGATATCAAGGCAAAAAAAAACGCAACTCCCTAGGGTTTTTCATGTATTTTTTTCGCCTTCATAGCATAAATTGTGAAATGTTCTCTGATCAATGGATAGAGACGAGTCTCTGGATTGCAGGGACAAATGTATTCATTATTCGCGATCTCCGTATGGGTTTCCATGGAACGTTCATTCAAAGCGGAGCGTTCCTGGTAGGACTACTGCCTCCAGGCTCTTGTGCCTCCTTGGGTGTTTGTGGGGAAAGTCACCTTAAATTTCGGATATATCGGCAGAAATTATACGACGCCTGAAACATCATGATTTCTTCCCATATCCTCTGGGAAAATTCGCATTCTAGTCATATAGTCATGGGTCAGGATTTGGGTGGATCACTCTAGAGACTCACATTCACATCTCTCTTCGAAAAATGTTGATATTAATTGCATTTTCTTTCTCAGAATTTCTAAATATTGCTGTAAAGTTATTGACGTTGCTCTGACGGATTTTCAGAGCGGAATGCATTTTGCGTAACTTTCGTCTCGTTGCACCTGGCTTATCTCTTCCCCAAATCTGTCATTCCTGATTTATCGAGAAAGACACAAATGAATAACGTGGACGTTGCCTCCAATTTAACTCCCCGCTTTCAGATTTTGAAGGTAATTATTGGGAGGCATTTGAAAATCAGCGCGAAAATATTTTCATTTGTAGTTATTTTGAACTTCGGAACTAAGTATCTTGAGAATAAGGATTTAAGTTTTTCTAAGTAGCTCTTTCGAGACGGCCGTGAAATATGGCTCTGCCGAATCATGAGCGAATTTGTTGTTTTATCCTCAGATCAATAACGATTTGACTGAAGGTATGTCGAAATCATACAGCAATCGGCCGCATTTCTTCTGCTTGCCTTCTTCCTCGTCAACGACCACGAGCTGCTTTTCTCTAGTATAGTGGTTTGACCCACAATTTCTGATGACACCTGTAATGAATCGCCTTTCTAGGTGAACCGGTTTCCGAGCAGTGTGATTTATTTATGTTCTTGTGCCTAAGATTGGTCAGCAGACGACAAGGTNTCCAAAAAAGTGGCATTTTCGCGTGGATCGTCGAACTTTGAGAGCGAACGGTTGGAGGAAACTATGCGCAACTCCGCCAAAAGATGGATCAGGCTAGCCTCCAAAAAGTTTAGCATGCTTTTGTCGATAGAAAATTTCTACGAAGAATGAGAGCGAAAAAACAGAATCCGAAAACGGAAATTTTCTCAGTTATGGCGCCATGGCGTCTCGATATCGACGGTTACATGCATGTATTTATTTTTTACATTTAGCGTGATATCTTCCAAGGAGAATGGCACGAATTTGACGTTTCTGCGACCAATGGTTGGGGAGATACACATTTTCAAGGAGAGGGATGTAAATCGTGACCTTTGACCTCAAATCATGGCCCCGGGTGTGACCGCAGAGAGTCAGCAATCGGCTCCAAGGCCCTTTCTTGAGGTCCCTTACAACAATTATAAAGCGGAATTTCGATCCAGAGGGGTCGATTTTCATTTTCCCATAGTATCTTAAGATGAAACAGAAACCAAAAAATAACAAAAAATAAAAAGAGTTGGGAAAGTGTTCATGCATGAGTATTTGCCTAAAAAACAATGAAGCTCACCATTACCTTGGGGAAAGCCCACATACAACAGAATATTGAAAAATCTTCTGTACTAACAAGTTCCTGCATCATTTGTTCCTTGTGTTGTTCATTGCATTTGTTTATATATGCAAAAAACATACTTAATTTATTAAACATAATTAGGCATTCAAATCCTAAATTGGTTCTGTCAGTTAGAGAATAGTTTGTTCTTGTCTAACTCTTCATGCCTCTCACCACAGCAACACTTTCATATGCCACATTCTTTTTACCCTACCTAGAAGTTTAGTAAAATTGGGTATGGTATTAAGAGCTACAAGGCTACAAGCAATGGAAGACTTTACATATGAAGTTCCAAATGCACTAGTAATGCAATTTGGAAGATGTTATCTTTGCGTTTCAGACAGTCAGCAGGATATTATATAATATCTATTCTCCTTTGCTTGTGGCAGGTGAAGGCTACTTCACACATCACTAAATGTCTTGTGCAAAATATATTTGCATGATTTCCTCTAATCCTAGTTTATATGAGTTCAGTACAATCAGAACATATAGGCAGACTTTATGAGTAGTCCACAATGTGGCCACCTAGTAAATGATGAAGAAGGGGAACCAAGCCAAGAATATCATAGGTGTATGAGTAATGTCAAATACCTGATGCTGTCCCTGAAGGTCAGGGTGTTGCAAATGGGTACAATCTGCATTCCTATGTGCATTGCGGAAGCGCAGGTCTCCTGCTGTTGGTCCCATTCTTCCACGTCCAGCTCCAAACTTGAAAAAGCCATAGGGGGGAGAATTTTCTTCATGAAAGTGCATATAAACCCAGTCACAAAAAAGATGGAGGAAGTGTCATCTCACAGTAGAATTTGTGAAAACCAGTGGCTGAGATGGAGGAGGGAAATCACAAAGCATTTGTCTTGCTGGAGGCATAGGTCTTGGAGTCCAAAAGCGAGGAGGTGGAGGGATGAACTGGAGGGAAGGAGGTGGAGGGACAGCCCGATATGAGGGCCTACCAGCTCTCACCACCATACCTGTACTGCCACCTAACATAGCACAGATTCATTCAACTCTCATCCCCTCAATGTAGGGCTAAGCCAATGTTCATTCAGGATTTGGAATAGTGTGAATTAGTTTTTAACTTATTCTGAACCTGACGTCCAAGAAGAAATTACAAATGCAACAAATGGAGGCCATATGACCGTTCTGGCATATCTTTGCATAACTGAGCCTGAAGTAATGAAGGTTTTTTTTTGCCAAACCAAGCTCCATCATAGGTATACAGACCAATAATACATGGGTCTGTCCACAGTGTCGGACATGACATCTGGAGTAAAATGTTTAGCATACAAAGTGCTTTTTACTATATTATGGATGACAAATCAGCACATAAATGCTATAACAATTCACCTTGAGTATTAACTGAAAATTCCAGTCTTGCACTCTCTCTTTTGTTAGAGGTGTACCTACATGCAAAGAAAAGTGTCAGATGTGACTTTTTGCGAACCCTCAAATTAAAGTCACTCGCTCTAATGTTCACATATCTGTCATCAAGCGGACTCTACTAATTTAGTTTCATGTTCATTCTAGAGATTGAATGAAAGCCTGGAATTAGTGTAAGTCACCCCAAGATAACCACACTTGAAACAGAGAGTAAGCCTATTTTGCAATGGTGTCGGATGTGACAGAAGGGTGTCAGATGCGACATATTCTGAAAATGTATTTTGACATCTACTCTTCACACCTGAGCTGATTTGAAATTATCAGTTTGCATGGAAAGCCCATGCTGGCATCTGTTCCAGTAGTCAATTCAGTATCTCCAGATTAGCATTTCCATCACATTTTTTAGTATCATGAGAGTAGTATGAATAATATATCATTATCATGACTAATTCTTTCATTTTTCAATGTAATATTCTATTTCATTCATGTCTTTTTGGAAAACAGATGATGAGCTTCGGTAGTGAAAGTAATATTTGCATATTTAGGAAAATTTTCAGCTAAAATCCAAGGACCACTTGGCATGGACAGACCCATATTTTACAATGGCATCACTTCAAAATGCAGTGATTTTCAAACCTGAGCAAGGTAAGCTTTAGGATTACTGAATGAAGGTTCAACAAATACCAAAATCAATCCATTACCACTGATAACACTTCATATGTCTGTCTGGGTTCGGGCAGGCAAAACTGCCTAATGCTGAGTGATTAAGTTTTGCACATACATTCCTTAGCATCCAAAGATCCATCCATGAAACAAAACTTTTACATCTTATTTTACATCTTAGTACATCTTATTTTTGAGAAGAGCTTAAATTTGGGAATGGAAGTTAAAAGAGGCCCAACACATCCAATCATAACATAGGTGCCACTGGACAGACATTGACCATTAAAATGTTTATGAGCTTGATCCTATTAGGGCAAGAGTTCAAAATGGCTATAAAAAATTCTGGGAAGTGCAATAACTCACCTGCAGGCCAGTCATGACTTTTACTTGAAGAGCCAAGGTTTACACAACATCTGACAGTTAAATCACTTTTGTAGCTAAAAATCACCTGTGAGAGCTGAGACTTCTCAAAAAGTTCCCACATTAGCTTAACCCCTTCACTACCAATTTTTTCACAGGATTTCCAGCCTCACTTTCAGTGCTGTGATTTTCCAAAACTGCCTCATCATTCTCACCCTTAAGCTCAACTGCCTTCACTATGTTGGATGCACTGTCAGTGGTCTTGCTATAAATGTTTGCCTTGCACAGCCCATAATCTTCCAGCACTGTACCAATTATTGCCTTTGTGGCTGCACTGGTATGTCACTCAGTGAGTTCTTTCCCTGCTAATGTGTGCACTATGAATTAGCCATCTTTTAGAATATGCACATTTATCCCTATCACTGCCTGATCTAGCTTTGTTGAGATGTGCACTTTCAGCAAAATGAGCCAATCTTCCACTTCCCTGCCAATATTTGCTTTCAAGGATTCTGCCTGCTGAAAAGTGAGGGAAGATATATTTTCTGCATCCATAGAGATGTGCAATGCTTTCTTCACAGACTCAATAATCTTGAGAAACACAGAGTCTTCCACAGCAGTGAAAGGCCTCCCATATTTCTCCAAAATCCTCCACCTGACAGTGCGACTTGTGGATCATAGAGGAAATACGTATAAACTGGGTTACTTTTTAGAATTACTATCAGCAAGGAATTCCATTTTTGTATCAAATATCAATACTGTACCAGAGGTACATATCATACAGCACTGCACATGGGATAATCATAAGAGATAACTATATAACTCAAATAGACAAATAAAATGCAGGACACATACATACACTGCTTAGGTGACATCTACAAGGCATGACACAATACAGGCTTTCCACACCACATAATTTGTGTGTGCAAGTTTCAGGGATAATTGACTCAATTTCCTAAAGCAAAAGAAACTGAAGGTTAAGATTGATAGAAAACAAATATGATGAAGAAACAGAAGACCTAATCTGTCATGACTCAGAAAATTAGTGTCAACTCTGGTATGCTAGCTCATCCCTGGTAAGCCCCTCAGTGTAAGGAGACAATCATTAAAAACCAGTGTGATCAGAAAGTTCCATTTTGTTGTATCGTTCCTTCTCCCTCATTCATACTGTTCTGTTTAACTTTCCATTTTGGGTGAAATCAAAAGTTCTGATCCAGTTTACTATTTTGTTCTGTTCCACCACTGACAGTATGGCTGAAGGCTATGGCTCTTGCATTAAATGCTTTGGTGAATTGATCAATTCAAAATGTTCCAGTGAGATGAACTTGTGAACAGGAAGGTCCTGTTCACAAAAATCGAGGTATTTTTAAAAATCGTACTGGAGGAAGATAAATAAGCAGTCCAAGTACATGATGCTGAAACAGCATTAGCTTCTGCACCATGTTCATCTTCATTAACCCTTCAAGCTGTTTTCACGTGCACCATACATTCACCACTTAGGTCAGGTCAAAACTCAGCACTACAAGGGTTAAAATTAATAATGGCTAAAAAAATAATCCAATGACAGTAGCAGTGAGGAAGACAAACCTTGCTTGTGGTGACGACCTAAGGGGAGAGAGAGGGGCTCCTCATCTGATGAGCGGGGATGGACCACAGCCAACGGTTTTACCTGTTGCCTCCTTTTAGCTTCTTCTCTTATCCCATGAGAAAAATTAAGAAAAGCTGATGCTGGGATCTTGTAACCCCTCTTCCCACTGCAACGTACTTCCACTCCACCAGGGAATTCTTGATCAAATACTACCTCATACAGGACTTCTTCTGGCTTTTCTGCACTTGTCATCCCTGAACAAAGAGAATCCACTCCCAATTACCAATATACATAATAAAGGGTGTTCCTAAATTATCTATCCTATTTTGAATGCAAATTAAAAAAATAACTAATAGGCATACAAAAATGCAGTTTGCACCATCTTGTAGCCTGAATTGAAGAGTTTTAATTGACATGTCAGCAGACCTTCATATCTGCTCCATAAGAGGCTCTCAGCAAGTCCAACCAATATTTCAATTTCAGTCGACGTTCGCTGTAATATGTCCAATCGCACTGCGATAGCATCCATTATCCTGGTCTTATTCCACGATGTTTGCTATAGGTGTGCCATAAAAGATTTTTTTTACACTACTGAAATTGGATTAACTGGTATGTTTTCCCATTAATATTCATCCCACACACTTGAAATTCTAATCAGTTTCATAGTATGCTAGTATGAGCTTGTATACCAAATTTCATCAAGATCACTCAACTGCTTTTATTTATGATCGAGCTTTTATTTTTGCAAACAAACATAATACAGGGTGTCTAAAAAAATTTAATGCTGCAAGAAATTATTTTTCTTGTGTTATACTGAAATTGAAAGAAAATTGTTGTATTGCTTAACATGGGAATAGATTAAGCTTTACAATGCTGAAGATTGCACAAAGATCAATGAACTCAGAAGAGAGATATAGAAAGTTAAAGTTTATTGTAGGAAAATTCAGATATGCTGATGAACCACTGCAAACAGCCTCAACAAGAGAATCTGGCAAGGAAAGCACTTGAATAAGCTAGTGAGCTGCAAATGTACTGCCAGGAGACCCTTCATTCTATTGCAGGTTCTTGGGCATTTGTCAGCAAAAATGCCACAGTATTCATTGAATGAAACAATCTTCTTGGTAATCCATCTCTCTCAATCTCTAAAAACCAAAGCAAAAACTAGTCAGTCAGCAGTAGAAAACCTCGCTGAGCATCTGATGGTGTGCTGGCGTTGCGGAGGAACATGCCTTGAATGTGTCCTTTAATAATGGTGTGTACATTTTTTCAAGTCTAATTTTCACTGTTCCATATTTCACTTCAAAAAGAGTAGATTTTCATGTCATTTTCAGCAGATAAAAGCTTAATCTCTTCTCTTTCTAGCTAATGCAACATAGTTCAATATAATACCAGAAAAAGTCATTATTACAGCATTAACTTTTTTTGAGACACCTGTATTTCCAGCGCAGTTTCAATTAACTCTCAGATGGCCATATGCAATGCATTTCAATCACATTTTTTAGAACTATGCAACAATTGAACAATTCCAACCAGTTTTGGGCTACTGTTAGGTATTTTATGGGTAAAATAAATAAATGAGGGTAATCATGAGAATTTGTTACATCACTGTCCAAAGCTATTTGGTAATATGGTTCCAAAAACATCTCTTATTGAGTTTGGGTGTATATAAATGCCAAGGGGAATGTCCAATAGAGAGGACATTGTGATGCAATGGTTGTGAAGTGCTATCTCTAAGATATTTGCAATGGCATACAAAGATGTGTCCAATACTCAACCCACTCCCACTCAAGTGGATAACTGAGTGACCTGGATCTAATCTTCCCTAAAAGGCAGAAAGTTTATGCATTGGGCATTAAATTTACAAGGTGTAATGTACAAGTTTACCCAGAGTAAGTGGGTAAGACAGGCAAGAAGTCACATGAAAACCCCATGCTAATTCTAGGGAATGATGCTTCTCTTGGGCTGCATGGTATCCTGGTTGCTTCATTTTAGCCCTTTCAGGCCCTGCAGGACACAGGAGTCCCACATTTCATTCACACATTTTGTAGGACTATACAGGAATGCACAATCATGAGCATGGTAGGACTTCCGAGTTCTTGTGACTTGAACAATATGATTTGCAGGTGGGTTCAATTTACCCATGAGAAAAGTTGCTTAGGACAAGAAAAGGATGAGAATAAACAAAGGAATGCATGAAAATAGCAAAAAGTTGATTCCGAAGACTATAAATGAGGCAGTGAAGGTAGATTTATGGGGGAAATATCCCAGAAAAAAGCCTCCATAGTTTATATTTTACATGTGACACATAAATAATAATATCTGATGCCTGCCGGAGGAACACATGGGTTAAGTTTTCCAGACATGACCCACTTGACCCAATTCAAATTGGTGCACACACCCATGAAACTCAATTGCTGATCAAATTTAGTGGGTCTGATCCACAGGTTGGCATGGTCCAATCAAGTCAATCCACATCCCTTGCAGAACTCAAAATCATCCATTATTTTTTACCCAATACCCTGGCTTTAGTTTGAACAAGTCTCAATTGAAGGCTAGCAAGAGTTTTGGGAACTTTTGTATAAAGGCTATTGAGCATTCTCTGATGACAGAATGCATCCCCTATTATTGAGTGTGGTTGTCTGAAATTTGAACATCGTCTCTTTAGAATGCTATGGGGCAGAACCATCTGAATATTGCTGCAAAGGTAAATTGAGGGTCTCTGATGATCAGAAGCATCCCATGTTCTCCATCTGATACATGAGAGTTCCAAATTCATTTGGTTTATCTCATTAGAATACTATAGGATGAAATTCCCTGAAGGTTAGTATATGGATACTTTTTTGTGGGGGGGGGGGAGGGGTCAATGACAAGACACACAATATTATGAAGCACAAAAAAAAGCATGATGCTTGACACCTTATGAAACTGACTGTGGATAACATAAGTTGGTAATTTTTCTTGCATGATATATATATATCATGCAAGAATGAATCTTGCATGCACTATAAAGTTTGTTTTTTGAAAGTTTTAAGGGTTTAGGTCACCTGAGTAAAAAGCAACAGTAATTCAAAGTTAAGTCAGAAAATGTAGCTATTCCACATATGAGGTGGATGCAGTCTCAGCATTCTTCAAAAGATTTCTCTCCTCAAGCCATGAAGCCTGTTTGTAGTGGGCCTAAGAGACCACTCCTACATGACTTTTTTTTTTATTAAAAATTTTTGAATTGGATTTGAAATTGGGTCACAGCAGGGAAGTCCATGAGCTCTCAAGGATCTAGACCACAATGTGCCTGCACATAGGACCTTGTAGGACCAGGCCTTGGAATCAATGCTTCTCAGCAAAACAGGGTTGTCAGTTCCTAACCAACCTTCATGGCGAATAGATTCAACCAAGACAAGCGGAGTGGGTGGCAGCACCTGTACGTAGCAGCATAGACATGGTTGTTATAGACAAAATAAGATTTGTGATGGTCAAGGACCAGAAAGAGACAGTATTTTGTTGATTTATATGACAGAATGTGTCCCCTTAATTGAAAGGAGGCCTAACACTGGATTGAGCTAACCCAACTTGTTAGGTTGCTTCCTCATCATAGTATTTTTGATTGTTCAGTGTCTTGAGGCCTCAGGTGGGAAGGCAAGGACTGAATTTGATGGTGTGTAAAAGTAATTGAGAGGGAAGAGAATAGTGTTAGTTTCCCATGAAATCATGGAATCTGTTCAGCAGATCTTCCTTTCCAGGCCTTCTTTTAAAATCACCATCTAATGAAGGGGCTTTTCTTTAAAAAAAAATTATATGATGGCACAGCACAGTCAAGAACATTGCAATAAGAATGCTGCCATAACAAACATGAGTTCTGTCAAAAAATTGGATGCATCTGTATAGTACTGCTGAAACTGCTGCCTCTCAATGTGTGGAGAAAGAAAAAATATTTCCTTATCAAAGTTTCAAGGAATGTCGATCTTCACACAAGAAACCTAGAGATTTAAAAACTTTCATTAAACATTTTGGCTTTTTGGGTGTCTTTTGCGTGATATGAAAGATTCACAAATTTAGTGTTTCTGAAAGTTTTATAAAGCCTCAACAGGATGCTTTTTGTGCTACATGATATTATTGAGCCAAAATATGGCTGTTTAAAATTCTAGCAGTGTGTCACATTTGAATGTTATAAGACAGAATTCAATGAGTCTCAATTAGGAAAATGTATATGTTTCACAGATTACTGCTACAGTCAACCCTCGATATAGCGCCACCCGATGTACCACCACACTCACTTAGTGCCAACTCCTTCCTGAGAATGAATCTTCCCCATAGGCTTATCATTGGTGCTCCCCCGTTTTAGCGCCACCCTTGCAAGCTGCCTTCTGCCAATACCTTGCCTTGCACAAGCATGCCTTATTCAAAGTAAGTCATACTCGATATAGCGCCAAGCAGCATACCGTACCAGCTACAATGATTATACCATGCACTATCGTAGTGGAAAAGAATGACAAGCTGTCAGCCTTTCCTTTTGATCGTTTGATAACGAGATTGTGAAGGATGACTTAGCTTTGGCCTGGATGCCAGGGATTAGAGAGTAAGGGGTCTCTTAATCGGACCTAATCCTGCCCCTCCTTTTCTTTCTTTGGAGAATGGAAATGCTTCTTTTGGTTCGAAGTTTCTCCATATGATTGTTCAAGCGTGTTCATTATCCAGTAATGGGAAAAGGACAGTTATAAGTGTGAGGGAAAAAGTAGAAGTGTGTCACTACAAGGAGGCACATGCAACCAAATGTCAGCAAAACATTGTGAATAATTTTTCTAAGCTGTGTAGTTTTTCTTCTCCATTGGCAGCATAGATGAATTAAAGTAGATTTTTTTTGCTAATTCTATTTTACATTTGAGTTATTTTGAAAATTTTCCATTTTAAAGCCATGCATTTTGATGTAGCACCACCCTTGATATAGTGCCAAAATGGGTGTAGACCAACAGTGGCAGTATATCAACAGTTGACTGTACTTGCAAAGTAAATTGAATAGTTGGGAAGGCATAAACCATCAGAAATAAGAAGTGCAGTAAAAGGAACCAAGTAAATCTCAAAGAACTTTCTAGCAATTCGAAAATGATAGGGGTTTGGATTATCAAAGGAAGAAGTTTTGGATCGCATGCTAGATAATGTAAAAAAGGCTTATATTATTTTAACTTGTACCCATGATCAAGGGGAACAGAGGTGGAATTGGGTGATACGTCTGTCCGGTAGGGCAGTTAGTATTTCATGGTTCAAAGATGGAGAGGCTGCAATGATCCCATTAAAATGGGTTAATGTGGTACTTGAACAACCAGAAAGGTATTTGATTTACTATCCAAAAAGTATACATAATCAGTTACTGCAATTTACCTAATTCACAGCCACCTCTGCAGTTTTTATTCAGTGCGCTGCTCATGCTTGCATTATTGCCACCCTCAGGATATGAAAGATCAGATACCACCTGCAGGAACTTACCAACAACTGTGCCACGCAGTCCCAATGGGACAGAGAATCCTTGTCTCACGTTGATGATACGGTCAAAGAGGTCAGTGGATGTACTTGGGTCAGGAGGAAGGCTACCCTGGTATGCATGTGGCTGGCAAAGAAAACAAAGTTTTCACAATCCAGTCATATCTCATCACTGCTGATACCATGTCATTCACTAAATACTTTATTGTGCTTCCTCAACTGTTCCTTTTTTCAATCAGCTATATCACACAAGGGTCTGGTAGGTTATATCCCAAATAATTGGAATTAACTGATTTTAACCCTCCAAGAGGCAAATGTCGCAGTTGTGATGTTGATACAGGCTGCAATAATGTTGCAATTGCGATATTTGTCGTTTGGAGGATTAATGGGGAATGAAAGTACACCTGCACTGCCCTTGTTAAGAAAACTTCTAATTGCTATGCCAGTGCCATTTTTCGAAGAAAAAGGGTTCAAGTTACTTAAGACAGAATGTAGAACATTTCTTATGTACTTCATGCAAACTTGCCTGTTATTTTGTCAATTAACACCTGCTCTTTCCTATGCAAAAAACCTGGCAAATTAATGCCTTCCTTGCCAAGTTATAGCTGTTCAAAGTCGTTCAGTGACTTTGGGCACTTTGACAGCAAGGGAGAATTGGATCGGATCGGCTGTATAGGTATCGGCCAATATCAATACTGACCGATCAACTGAATATCGGTGCATCCCTGATCTGCAAGAGATGACCAGCCCAAAGAATGAATTTCAATGAAAGAGTTCAACATCATCTTGATGACCTGGAGGGACAGTGAATCCTCCCTACAAGCAAGAGCTCTTGTCTATTCTCAATGTCTAACTACTTTTCAATAATTGCTGATGGTATTGCTACAGCTCAAAAAATTTGGATGGAATTTTGAAAATCACTTAGAAACATACTCATATATACATAGTGGAAATTTCATAGAAATGGTTCCATTGGGAATGGAGATATTAAACTTTAACCCTTTTAGTGCCATGCAGCCAAATTTTCAGTCATAGGTTTTCATTAGGTTTCTTCTTTCATGTAGTAGGGGTTCTTGTTAATGAAAAAAAAACAAGCCTAAAGCATTTTTTGGAAGTAACAGACATGGCTGAAAAATCTGCCACGTGGCAATAAAATGGTAAAAGTCATTGGTCTTTTTTTTACCATAGGCTGTAGAGTTGCCTGGAATAGGTGTGCCCCCTAGGGCAAGTGAGCACTCTAAGCTGATATTAAAGATTGAGGGTAGATGCCCTTTTCTTCATTTCAATCATATAGTAAACTCTCTTGCACAATATAAGCAACCCCCAATCCCCAGGAATTTTCTAAGTGCTAGGGGTAAATACCTCATCATGGTGAACAGTCCTGACACAAGAGCACTTGGCTGTTATTTCAACTAAGTCTAAGAGGCACTTCAGAGTAAGTTTTTGTGAAAAGTCAGCGTAGATGTGAAGGCCCATGACTGTATTACGGAACAGATTGGGTGAGTTATGTTCTCTTCTGCTAAAACTCTATTCATAGCCAAACTTGCCAACTTGCCCCATGGTCATTCCATGCCAATTTGACCAGAGCATAAGCTCAACAATATCCAATTTGGAAAAAAATTGGCACACACATAGGGGAATCGATTTCAGGTAGCAATACCCCTTTAAAATCAATATGATAAGCTCCAATGGTGTAAATCAACTCTGTATATGAGGTTGGAGGCTTCAAAGAAACTAATTCGATTCCATGGATTATTAGCAGAAATTATGCTAATTAGGTGTCAATTTGACTGAAGTGAGCGAAAAAAAAGCAGTGACATTTCAAACATAAATATATTATAAATCCTTGAATATAAATGGATGAAATTCCCACACATAATAAAAGACATCAAAAGCTTGGAATGACAGATAAATTTTATGAAATTCCTTCTGAATAAAATATTAGACCAAATGAACATTTTTCTCTATTTTGATCGGCTTCTTATGTATTAACATGATAATTATTCAAATCGCGTCTATGATATTGGGAAATGCTCTTGACCATGACCACCGATGCAAGGAAATTTATTGCGAAAAACCATATGGATATCTCTGCTAGGTCCTGAGATATTGTGCTCAAGAGCCCTGTACTTTTGGTGAAAATGGTTTTTGGGAAATCAATAAGAGAAGTGAAGTAGCACCCTGTGAACCATCCGCAAAGGTCATCGACAACTACGGAACCGACTGACTCCTTGGAATGAGGCACCTAGGGGTGAAATCCAGAGTGAATAATAGACTGCTACAAAAGTTATGGCGTTGACATTTTCATTTTTCATCTTATCTAGCATATGTTATCCAAGGGTCAAAATCGTTACTAAGGAGATGTAAATAATACATTACTACACTAATTAGCTAAAATTACACCTAATTAAGTTTCATTATTTTTTTCCAATGGGAAAGCAATATGAAGAACAGTTTGAAACAATTTTTGCGAAAACGATTTTTTTCCCGAAAAATTTTTTATTATGGGGCATCACTACCTTAATGAAACTAATTTCAAGCAATTTTTTTTATCTCTCACACTGATTTCCAGATATATGAATTTGAATGTGACCTGTATTTGGCTCCTGGTGTCCATACAGACTGGAGTTGTGAAACTGTTTCTGCTAGTACTTCTCTTCTAGTCAAGATACAAGGTTCATTCTGGTGTCATTTTAATTGTGAAATAGCCATCTTCAATTTGATTGCAGACAATATTCTCCAAATCTGAAACAAGAAGTTCCACTTGACCAAACAGTTTGATCAAGTTCAGTGACCATTACCTATGCTTACCACCTCAGGAGTTTGTAGTTCCAATAGATGATTCAAAAGTGCATGGTATGCCATTTCGAAATACACCAAATTTGAGATTGGCAATCAATGGCTTCATGAGATATGAATATTTGACTGTAGCAGAAGTGCCAACATTCCACTTGCATGAACAAATTGATGGACTTCAGCGAATGACTTGCACTTGCCTCTCTATGAATCCTGAGTTATAATACTAAATTGGAAAGTACCTGCTATGTCCTATCTAACAATACTAAATTTAAGATCAGCACTCAATTGCTTTATAAAATATGACTATATGTAACTGTAGTGCCAAAATTCCATTTGATCGAAGAATCAGACAATTTCAGCAACCAACACCTACACCGATTTCATCAACACAGATTTCAGCCATCCATGAATCCAGAGTTATAATAATTTATTCATAAGTGTAATTCATGCCTTCTCTAACAATACCAAATTCAAGATTAGCATTTGGTGCTTTGAATTCTACTGTTGTAATGTTAATTATTTAAAGTTAACTTGTTTTTGTTTATTTTTTTTAAAACAATTTTATTGCTTGTTTGCCCACTACGTAAACAAGTGAATAATGGTGGTAACAAAAAAGGGGGAAAGTGGGACAGAAACATCAAAACAAGAAAAAAGAGGGGTAACCAAAGAGTCAAAACTGAGAAAGAGAGCAATTGAGAGAGGGCCAAGGAGAAAGGCAGTTTGTTGAGGTAATGAAAAAGGAGTAAACAAGGAAATAAGAAATGAAATGTATGCATTAATGGAAGAACATAAATAGGTATGGACCTAATGAATGGACCCATGAAGAAAACAAAAAATGTATGGAAAACCATGGACTTTGAGGAGAATCAAAATACAGAGTGGGAAAAAAAAAAGCAGGAAAGGGGGGGAGCCAAACCAGACACAAGTTTAAGTAGCCCTTGGTTAAGCATTTCATGCACTAGTTTGGTTGGGTGTTCATCCTTGCATACATAAGAAAACTGTAATTAATTACCATTTTCCATTAAATCAGTTTATTTCGAGGTGCCATTTTAAGGTTGCAGTTTGTGTAACCTTATTATATTCAATACTAATTTTTTCTCTTCAGTTTTCAAGAGTCAGTTTCATTTTAGTCATATGTAAAACAAAAATAAAATGTTTACAAACCAAGCTTAGGAAATTAACTGCCCAGCTGGTTCCAGGTAATCCAGGAACATCAGATTTATCCATAGAAGGAAGAATACTTTCATCCCTCTGAAAACTGTCAATTATTCTCCATAATTCCGTAGAGGCTTTACACTTGTACATGTGAAGAAGAGTGTGTTTGTACTTCTTGAACACAGGACAAACTGGGGAATCTACTATCCTACACATATGGAGAAAGGAGTGCGTGGGTAGCGCACGATGGAGAAGTTGAAAATAAAAAAAGCGCAATCGCAAAGACAGAGTAGTTTTGTAGAGTAAGCAGTACAACCCTTTCCAATCTTTTGTAGTGTAGTGCTAAATAAATCCCTGTTCCATTTTGATTGTTGAACTGCATCAACTCTTGGTGTACAGGATGTTGAATTTTTAAGTGCCCAAGAAAAAAAAAATGTTTCATAGGCTTTGCACAGAGCAGGTGATGGTGGACTCTGGTCAAGCATCAATTGGAGTTCTCTTCTCCATTCAGTTTCGATACTTAAAATAAGGTATCATAGAAAATTTAACCTCGTGTTGAATTTAGCATTTATTTTGTGGATGGAAAGAAAATGGCCCTCTTCAATGATATCCCTGATGAATTGCATTCCTCTCTTCACAAGTCAACAAATAAAGCTTTTTGGAACGATAATGGTATGTCATCATTTAAGAAAAGGGACTCATCAAATGGATTGGTGATGACAGCAAGGGAACAGAACTAAACAGCTGCCCATGTTTGCAATATACTGCGAAAAAAGGGTAGTTTGATACTTTTAACCACCTCACTTAGGGGGCTACAATTAGCATGAAAGGAGATATGGGAAATCTTCTGGACTGAGGCAAACTTTGGCACTGTATAATGCTTGCAATTGTTCTTCAGCCTTTATTGCTAGAAGTCTTTTAACCCATGATGCCTTGATCGCTGCTGCTCGAAAGGCTACATTTGGGATCCTTAACCAGCCATTTGGGTAATCCTGAACTAATGTTGTTCTCCGAATTCTTTGACATCCCTTTAGGGCTAAGAATGTCCATATTAACTTTAGTATATCATCATATTATTCTCTAGGCAGGTCATCTATTACTGAAGCCAAAAAATTCACCCTCGATAAGGAGTATGACTTAACTAAGATGCATCTTCCATATGCTGTTAAATTT